CGTGTGAGTGTTAGATTTGTTTGGTATTGCTAAAAATCTCTCTCCCAGCTTGTCCGTCGACGACATGTTGTCGTAATGTCCCGGGGATCGTTGCCCCGCCGCTACCAACTGTGAAGGTCTTCAGTGACCACTCACAAGCTGTTCCAAGGCCCGACAGAAATGTACTGTCAAAACTTTGTTCAAACAAAAGTCCTGGCCCGCGGCCCCCACACCCACAATGACTATCAATCCAGGCTGCGGGTGAAGGGCAAAACCGCGCCGCTGCAGAACGGTTTTTGCAAAACCGCGCCGCAGCGGTACGAAACTGCGCAGATGCAGTCCAGGGGTGGTAAGGACACTATGTGTGTGTGTGTGGCCGTAGACTAGACGGCTGCGCGGTCGTCGGTCTTCAACAAGCGGCGCGGTTTTGCCCTTCACCCGCAGCCTGGATTGATAGTCATTGTGGGTGTGGGGGCCGCGGGCCAGGACTTTTGTTTGAACAAAGTTTTGACAGTACATTTCTGTCAGGCTTTGGAACAGCTTGTGAGTGGTCACTGAAGACCTTCACAAGGACACCTTCCCCGACTCCAACCCCACCGACACGCCCGCCATCCTCAAGGCCAAGACGGCGGCGCGCAATGCGGCGGAGGCACGGGCGCGCGGCGGGCTGTGGGTCAAGTTCACCTCGTTCGTCACCGCGCTGCCTCGCCCGTACATCGGCGCTTCCATCCTACTCGTCCTGCTCGCGTGCCTCATCCCGGTCTACATGGGCTCGCCTGCCTCGATCGGCACGCCTGTGGCCGACGCCGTGGACGAGCCCTCGAACATGGGCGTGATGGTCGAGTCCGTCACCGCACTACCCCTCGAGCTGTCCACCGGGCCGGCGATTGACTCAGGTGGCGGAGCAGAGTACGCCATCGAGGAGGACCCGCTCCAGCCGATCTACCGCAAAGTCGCGGGCGACATGTTCCGCGCGGTGAATGACATCGACGTGCCCAAGACGGTCCCGCTCGTCCTCTCGTACACATGCATCATGCTCGCCATGTACGTGGCGCGCATGGACGCGATGCAGGCACACGCGCTTGTCGGGCATGTCAAGGTCGTCGACGCGTACGACACGACCGCCGGTGTGAACATGCCGGGATCATATGCTGCTGGCGTCGACTCCAAGGCCGGCATGAACATGTTCCCGACGCCCGACTTCTTCCCTCACGGGTGGCGCGAGCCCGAGAAGCCCATCTACATCCGCTGCGCAAACAACGACTACCTCAAGGCGAAGGGCGTCGGCACCGCGTACGCCTTCGCGCTGGCTGACCCGACCAAGCCGCAGGACACGAAGGTTGTGAACACCGAGTGGGTGAACGCGCTGTACGCGCCCGGACTCGCCATGCCTCTCGTCAGCGTCATTGTGGGTGTGGGGGCCGCGGGCCAGGACTTTTGTTTGAACAAAGTTTTGACAGTACATTTCTGTCAGGCCTTGGAACAGCTTGTGAGTGGTCACTGAAGACCTTCACAGTGGAAGATGCCGAAGTCGTCCACGTAGATGACGACGATGAGTTTCGTGTTGTTGCGGGTGAGGATGAAGCAGCTCGGGTCCGCCTCGGACTGAACGAGCCCAGGAAACGCCTTGTTGATGGACTTGACCTTGTTCCACCAAGCGTTACCTGCGGACGGTGCGCCGTAGAGGTTGCCGACCTCGCACACCATGTCCTTCTCCTCGCCGGTGATGGGGTCGATGTAGCAGTACTCGGGCTTGCCCTTGAGCCCCTTCGGCATCTCGCAGTACCAGGTCTCGCCCTCCCCGCGCTCCGCCCAGGTGTACGCCATGGGCTGGTCGCACGTGATGAGCTCCATGTCCTCCTGCGCGGCCACGTTGAGCACGGTGCGGGTCGTGCCGTAGCGGACGACGCTCGCGAAGGTCTTGGTGAAGTCGACGCCGGGCCGCATCAGGTTGCCCATGACACAGCCGCGCCACTTGCACCGGCCGTCGGACTTCTGGGAGGCGATCTCCTTCAGCGGGAGGACGCGCACCTTGGCGGGGCGACGCATGGGCTTGAGCGTGCCGTTCTGGATGAGGCCGAGGAACTCGGTGTCATACGCCTTGTACCACATGTCGCGCAGCTTGGGGTCGCTGATGTTGGCGATGTCCTTGTAGTGCTTGGGCACGATGTTGTCCGGCATGGGCATGACCTGGCCGTCCACGCTCGACATGTACGCGACGCACTGGTCCGTGGTGTTGCGGTAGACCGACGACGATGGGGATGCGGCCGCCGCAGCCGAACGCTCGCACGCCCCATTCTGCCACGGCTCGTAGGGGCAGCTGTTGCGGAGGGTGATGCCGTACTTGAGGCAGAGCTCGCGCACGGCGCTGGAGTTGAGGACGACCTCGTTGTCGCAGAACGCAACTCCTCCGCGGAACGTGTGGCCGTCCTTTCCCTCGTTCTCGGCGAAGTACTTGCGCAGGTAGGCAGGCGTCTGGCCCTTGGTCTGCAGGATGTACGGCGTGATGGTGCTGGTGTGCTCGTCGACGACCATGAGTGCGTAGCGGTGCCCATCGACGCCTACCACACCCTTGGGCGACCAGAGGTCGTGTTGAAGACCGACGACCGCGCAGCCGTCTAGTCGACGGCCACACACACACACATAGTGTCCTTACCACTCAGGGACTGCATCTGCGCAGTTTCGTACCGCTGCGGCGCGGTTTTGCAAAAACCGTTCTGCAGCGGCGCGGTTTTGCCCTTCACCCGCAGCCTGGATTGATAGTCATTGTGGGTGTGGGGGCCGCGGGCCAGGACTTTTGTTTGAACAAAGTTTTGACAGTACATTTCTGTCAGGCTTTGGAACAGCTTGTGAGTGGTCACTGAAGACCTTCACAGTTGGTAGCGGCGGTGCAACGATCCCCGGGACATTACGACAACATGTCGTCGACGGACAAGCTGGTGATTCCGGCCTACAAACAGGGCTCCGTCGGCAAGCCGCTCAAGGTCCACGAGGGAAAGGTGCACGAGTTCCTCGGGCTCACCATCACCAAGACGCAGACCGGTTTCAAGCTGTCTGCCAGCAAGTACATCGACACGGCGCGCGCGTGCTTCTTCCCGTCAGGCGTCACGCACGCGGGCTACAAGGTGCCCGCGGACAAGGACCTTCCGTCCATCGTCATCAGCGCAGCCGAGAAGAAGACCGCGCCCGACCCGCAGCTCCTCCAGCGCTGCCAGTGCCTCATCGGCAGCCTCATGTTCGCCACCAACGCGCGCCCCGACATCCAGTACACCGTCTCGCAGCTGGCGCGTTGCATGGCTTGGCCCGACGCGAACATCGAGGCCGCCGCCGAGCGCTGCCTCATCTACCTCATCGGCACGCAGGACCTCGGCCTCCACTACGAGCGCGTCGCCGACCCCAAGCTCTTCGGCTGCTCCGAAAAAGGAAAGAAAACGGACAACCCAAGGGAGGGATGGGAGGACGGCACGCCGCCACCACACAGGGATTTTAAGGAGAGGGGTGAGCTCCGACGCGAACTGGTGCACCCGCCATTCTATTTTTTTTTACCTGAGCGGGCTCAATTTTGCTCTAGGTGCCTCCTACGATTCGATCCCGCGTTCTCAGGCAGTCGCCAGGCCCAATGCCTTGGCGGCGGCGGGTTGGGGAGCTGTCTCTCTGGGCGTCACGTTGCATACTGTCTTGCACGTGGCCCCAGTGGAGGTCTGCCCATGTGGCGGCCTCTTCCATGCCGCACCAGTACGGTTCCTGCGCTGCCTGCATTGCAATCGACATTGCGGCGGCATGCGGCGGCATTGTGACGGAACGTCTGGGTGCGGCGGAACGTCGGCTCAAAAGGCCCATCGCCGACGATATGATGCACCTGCCCCACTGGCGTGGGATCAGGGCGAGATGTCATCACGCGAGATTGCGCAAGACTCGGACGATGGGGTTGGAGCAAGCAGCCCGAAGCTGCGAGCCGACGGCCGCGCTCTTTCGGCGCGGCGCCAGTCAGTAATTTGGATCGCGCATTTTGGGTGTTGCTTGCTGTGCACCTCTCCTCACGTTGAAGGATAGGCTAGTTCCATTTCACTCTGACACGCTAATCTTGAAAACGTCCAACGGAGCTCCGTGTTGCTCCCAGCGCCCTCCCCCGCGCTTCCTGCGGCCATGGCCGATGATACTAGTATGAGAGGTCATCTGGCTACCGCGAGCGCGACTCAACTCGCCGACGTCGTCCGATGATTGTGCCTCAAAGTCAGCCTCCGGAGGCTATCGTGAGGTCGAGCCGGCAGTAGCCGTGACATGTGGTTCCACCACCCCTCGTATGCTTTGCCTCTGACCGCCACCGTTCCCAGGCTGCCAAATGGGATGGAAAGGAAGGCTCGGCGAGCGTATAGAAGCGTGCTCGACCTCGTCGTGGCAACCTGCACGGCAGCGCTGGTAGGCGCGATGAGCGTCGTGCCACCTGACCCGAGACGGGTCGCAGGCGTCGTACCGAGCGCGTCGAGACCGTGTCCTGATGTGATCTGCACGGGTGAGTCACGTCGGCGTCAAAGGAGCGACGTGCGACCTGTCAGAGCTTGATCTCCGATCTCAGCGGCGTCGAGTCGTCTCCGGCGCGCGACAAAGGTACATCCCCAGGACGCGCAGAGGCAGCTGCGACCCAGCGGAGTGGACGGTAACGCACCGCGCCACCTGCTGTGCGTTACCGTCCACTCGGCGGGGTCGCAGCTGCCTCTGGAAGGCACCGAGATGTACCTTTTTCGCGCAATGGTCAAAATCAAGGTTTTGTAACGCGAGCTGTGCCACAGTGAAATGGAACTAGCCATAACCTACATAGCCCGCGCTGCGCGGCTATCTCCGAGCAGAGACCAGTAGAGTCCTGGTGACTGTACGGCTTTAGGAAAGGTGTCCGTTTTTTAATTTATGAAGCGCTACGTCACCGACCCATGCAATGCAATCCGTGGCACCGCAGCCGTCGACCTCTCCTGCATCAGCTCCCCCCCCCCCCCCCCCAAACACACAATCCTGGGGCGGGTCCCTCACAGCACCCGCTTCATCATCTTCAAGACGCACGCCTGCCCGTAGGGCACGTACGAGAGCATGTACCTACCCCGAAGGCCGACCGTGACGGTCGCGAGGGGCACGTTGGAGCGAAAAGAAATGCTGCGGCAGGCTGGCACCATGTCAGGGCACAGAACTGGCAGAGGATGAAGCCAAACGATACGACTTGCACCTGAGACGGAGCGGAGTCCCGGTTAAGGATCGGAAAGGAATGGCGGCGCACGTGTGGAGGAAAGAGTCCACCTTGAGCCAAAAGACGGACCAGAGGGTCCCCGCGAGCGTGACGCCGTACACCTATCCGCATGTGCGTTCCAAGCTCTCGAATTGCACAAGGGGCAGGGAGAGACTGAGTCTCTCTGCCGGGGCGCACCAGCGAGGCAGTCGCGCGCTCGGGCGAGGCCATGTCACGCAACTGTTTGGCAGGGCCGACGAGAAACGTAGAGGCGCCTGCTCGGCGCAGAACGGCGGATTTATATCTGGGATGCCGGGGCGGCAGCAGAGATGGAGCATAAGCCCATGGGCGGGGGGCGCGGGAGGGAGACCGATTTGCAGCAGATTGCCGAGAGTGTACTTGAAGGCAAAGGGCGCCGCATTGCCTGGGTTAGGAGTCGGGGTAGAGCTGGGGGTGGGGTGGGATGGGCGGCGGGGGACAGCGGGGGCGGCCCCTGTGGATGTGGTGGCGGGCAACGCAGTGGTGAGATTGGCAGAGCCCACGGGGGTGGTTTGGTGGTGGTGGTGGTGGTGGTGGTGTGTGTGTGTGTGTGTGTGTGTGTGTGTGTGTGTGTGTGTGTGTGTGTGTGTGTGTGTGTGGTGGGGGGGGGGGGGGGGGGGCTTGCCGAGTAGGAGGGAGCCGAGCGAATTGAGGGCGGAGAGGGAGATGAGGGTGCCGAACGCGAAGCAAAGGATTGAGCCGAGCAGCCGCTGCCGATAGCTCAGGCCGGGGCAGCAGCTACACGCCTTGAGCCTCTCGAACGCTGTCTCGGGTTCGCGCGGCTTGTTGCCTACGGGGTGCGTCGCGGGTGTGTCACAGGCGGGTCTGCGGGAGGGGCCGCACCAAAGGTCTACTCGGCCTCCGAGGTACCCGCTCGGGTCGAGGGCAGTGAGGCCGGAGCCAAGGCTCGAGCCCATGCCGTGCAAGCTGTCTTGCAGGCCTCGCACCTTGTCCCAGCTGTTGCCGCCCATCGCCTGACGCGTTGTGGCGCACTGAAGACGGTGTGAAAAACGAGGCTGCGGCAGCGGTGGTCTGGGCCGCGCTAAGTTTGGCTTGCCTCTGCCTGCGACGACGGCACGAGCCTCTCCTGCTCGGACGCGCGGCCGGCCTGATGCAGACCGAGCCGCGCGAGGAAGCCTACGTGTGGCCTCGCAAGCTCAGACGCCGTGCAAACCGTGGAGCCCTCGCACCGAGTCGCTCGAGAGTGCCCGTCTGCCGGAGCTCCTCGCCGCCCGACTCGGAGCCGTCGTCGGATGCCTTCGGGTCGGAGAGCTTCGCGCTCGTCGCCGTGAGGCTAGCCGCCTACCCAAAGAGCGACGTCGATCAGAACTCAAAGGCGCGGTGCAGCCGGCTAGTGCGAGGAAGAGAGCCTGCAGCGAGGACGAGCCCGCCTCGACAGTGGAGCGCACCGACTCCTTAGCTGCCTGTGTGAGGGAGGAGCAAGCGGAGACGATCGAGCCGGCCTCGAGCTTGGAGAGGTCGATGCTCGCCATCGAGTCGCCCGCCGCACGCACGCGGTCCACCCCGCTCGTGAGCCCGCTCGCCATCGTCGTGAATCCGTCGCTGCCCACGCTCGCGCCCGCTGCCGCCATCTCCGCCGCCGCCGCTTTTGCCCGGTCCTGAGCACTACTGAGGCTTTCGAGCGCCGAGTCGGCCGCCATCGAGGCCATGAACCTGAAGGAGTCCATCCTCAGCGCCAAAAAGGTGAACACACAGAGGGTTTTTGCAGCGATCTACACTTGGTTCCACACTTGCTTCCACACTTTTCGCAAGTGTGGAGGGCCAGTCGAAAGTGTAGACCGTTGGCGACCCGACAGATCGGGGCCGAAAGTGTAGAACCGTTGCACACTCATGAGCACGACGCCCGAGGCGCAGGTGACGTCGGCGTCCTCGCCCCAGACCCCTCCCACGCCCCTCTGCTGACGGCCGCCTCGCCTCGCCCCCTCCTCAGGCCGCGACCGCGGCGCAACCCGCGCCCACCCCTGCGGCCGCCACCAACGGCAAGGCCGAGAAGGAGGTGAAGCAAATGAAGTGGACCTACGAGCGCGACGTGGCTCTCTTGACGCAAGTCGCCGCCGCCGGCCCGCTCGCCTGGCTGACGTCCAAGATGGGCTACTCCGGCGACCCCGAGCGCACGTACAACCAGGGCGCGGTCTGGGACAAGGCCGGCGAGGGCATCATCCCGCAGATCAAAACGCACGAGGCCTTCGCTGGCGTCACCACCTTCCCCGCGACGACCGCCTTCATCGTCCACACGAAGCGAGTCGTGCAAAGCAAGGCCAACCTCTACAAGTCGGGCGGCGAGCAGGCCGAGGACGCGCCGGCAGGCAGCCTGGGCACCAAGAACGAGGAGCTCTCCGAGCTGGACCAGGTGATGCGCCACCGCCTCCCCTCACCCCCCTTCCCACTCCCTTCGCCCGCCCCCCTCCCTCCCCTCCCCTCTCCTCCCTCTGCCCACTCCGCGCCTTTCACTCGCACGCAGCTCATCATTGAGGTCGGCACGGCGATGGAGGAGGCGGAGAGGATCGGGTGCGCAAACAAGGAGGGCAAGGCTCAGGCGGACGCCGACGTCGGCAAGGGAGCGCAGGCTCGCGAACGCCCCGGGGGTAGGGGGATTGAGGGGGCTAGGCTCGCCGCCTCGTTGACGCCCTGCACCCCCCCCCCCCCCCTCCTGCCTGCTCCCCCCTGCAGGCGATGCAGGACGCGCTCGCGAAGCGCACGTACCCCAAAGACGGCGACACCGGCAAGAAGGGGAAGAAGAAGAAGAGAGCCGGGCTCAGACTTAGACGCTGGAAGGCCGGGGGCCATGAACTTAGACGACATAAGGCCAACTCCGGGTAAAACCCGGGTATACCTGCAAAAGTCCAGGTTTACCCGAAAAATACCTGGACGCGGTCCCGACCAGCGTGTGCCGCGCACGACGCCATATCGCCGTCTCCCAGGGCCAGTGCGCTACTTGCGGCGCGCAACGCCTGCTCAAGTACGCGCACCGTACCATGTGCTGCCGCTATGCGTGCCTTAAGGCGGCTGCGGCGAAGCGGCGGGCGCGGCATGCCGATGGCAGTGCGGACGATGCGGTTGCGATGTGTTCTGCTTCAAGATCGTGGCGGTGCTTGGCATGCACTTCTGCGATCCCAATCAGCTCATCGCAACGAAGCAGCGCAACAAGCTGGCTGCTGCCAACAAGGCCCTATAGCATACACAGGCTTCTCTGACATGCGTTTGTTTGAGCTTGAGGCTATTTGTGAGAACTATTTGGCTAGATGTCGCCGAAGTGCGCTCAAGAAGCAGCAACGAGAATCGGAAGAGGAGGATGCTGAGGCGGCGATTGCTGAGCATGAGGAGGATCGATCGCCCGCCGCGCAGGCGAAGAAAAATTGGGCGCCAGCGCCGTATATCGCGTGCCATGGCCGACTTAGCCGGTGTAAGAGGCTCCCGCTGATCTTAGACCGCGTAAGCACTCCAGCGTGGCTAGCCACACTTAGACCCGTTAAGCCGCGAGGCTCAGAACTTAGACTACTACCCAACCAGTTGTGTGTGTGTGCCTGAGCCTGTCCCTGTCCGAGGGCGAGGCCCTGTGCGTCTCGTGCGTGCCGTGTGTGTGTGAGTGTGCCTCGAGTGTCGTGTGTGTCACGGGGTGTCCGCACAGTCCGGAGTCTTTGTGTGTCTGGACTCTGGTGAGTGGTGTCTGACCGCTGCGTGACCCTGTGAGCTGTGAATCAGCAGGCTGTGTGTGTGCGTTGGGGGTTTCTCGTTTAAAAAAAAATTCGCGTGCCGCCGCGCGGGTCCTTGAAACGGGTCAGCGTGAGACAACGAGCCAGCGCGCCAATGGTCGACGGAACCTCGAGGGGACGAGGCCGCCGCGACGCAAGATGCATCCATCTATCCCGCCTCCGCGCCGGCGGCACTGCCCTCGGCTTTAGCGCAGGGAGGAGGCACGGCACGATGCAAGCGTGGCGCCCGGTAGTGGGAGGCGCCTCACTCCTTCTTGCGGAGGTCGGCGACCTCCCCCTGCAGCTTCTGGTAGAGCTCGACCAGCTGGTTGTTTCGCTCCGTCAACGCAGCCACACGATCCGCCAGCGCCGCGACCGCAGCCTCACTGCTGGCGGGGACAGCGACGGCTGGTTCGGGGGTGGCTGGTACGGCGCCGGCGGAGGTGGCGGGGGTGGCGGTGACGGGGGTGGCAGTGACAGGGGTGGCTGGGACGGGAGTGGCGACGGGAGTGACGGAGACTGGCGTGGCAAGGACGGCCGCTACCGCTGGGACGCTGGGCATCCCAGCGGCAGGGACGGCAGAGACGGCGGGGACGGCGGGCGCTGGCTTGGGGGCCGCCGCCGCTTTGGGCTTGATGGCCACGGCGGCGGTTGCCGAGACCGGGCGTCCCGCCAAGGGCTTGGGGGCGGGAGTTGGCACTGTGGCAACGGGTGCCGATGCAAAGCGCCCGCCGAAGGGCTGGCTTGCAGCCTGCACCGAAGTGGGCGACCGCGCCGTGGGGGTGACAACACCGGCAGCGGCGGGCGCCGCAGCGGCGGGCGCCGCAAAGCCCTTGCGCCCCTTCCGCGCAGCCTCTTTGGTCCCCATGCGGCCGAAGGCCGGCGCTGGTGGGGACGGGCGCTGGGGCTCGTTGGAGTAGAGCGGCGAGGCCTCCCCAAATAGCCAGCCCACGGGCGAATCCTGGAGGTTCTCGAGGCCGCCGCTGAAGATTTGCGCCGCGCTGCGGCGCAGGAAGCCAGCCCGCGCGCTCGCCGCGCCTCCGGCGGGCGTCCCGGCGGCGGCGGCGCTGGCCGCCGACTCCCCCTCGAGCAGAGAAACAAGCGTGTTGACAAACAGGATGATGAAGGCCGCGCCGGCCACGACGCCCCCAAAGACGACCAGGGGGTCGGCGAGGCCAAACGACCCCGCGGCAGCCGCCGGCTCGGCGAGATCGGAGAAGCCAGCCGATGCTGAGGCGAGCGGTGCGACGGCTGCGGTTCCCTCGTAGGCCGGCGGCGGCGCGGCCGCAGCGTTGGCAACCTGCGACGCGATATCGGCGACGTCGAGCGCGTCCAGCATGCTCGGCGAGCCAAGCCGCGTCGCGACGCGGGGCACGGATCGCGCGAGGAGGCCCGGGGCCAGCATTGGGGATCTGTCGGGATCTGTGCAAGAACTTGGGTTCGGCGCCTGTGCGTCCCGGGGTGCCGCGCATTCCGCGCTCGCCCCTTCTTCGTTTCGCCGGCATTGCAAAAGTGCTACGGACAAAGAACGACCCATGGAATTGCGACTCGCCGCTTTCCTCCCGCTGTGATTCTGTGTGAGCTCTGTGTCTTGATTTGCCAACAACATACCTTAAATAAACCGGGGGCTCGCACAACGCCCTGGCCGAAAGAAACGCCGCGCACCGTCGAAGGTTGGGGTCGCCAATCTTGTCGACAAAGCATAGCGGTGTCTCCTCCACCAGCAGATCCCAGTGCAGCACGTCCAGCACGCACTTCTCTGGGGGGCGGGAGGCCGGGTGAGGTGGGGTGGGACAGCGCCCGCGCGATCACGATTCGTTCACTCTCCTGCGTCTTCAATCTGGGAGACGCTGAGCTGCTGCTGGCCGAACGCGCACTGGTCCGTCAGTGCTCTGAACGAAGGGCAGCTGGACTCAACGAATTTGGCCGCAATGCAGACGCACGCAGCCGCAGCTGCGCGCATATTGACACATGCTGGCCCCTCCTCCGCACAGTAGCGGTCAAAATAGGTGATCGCCAGGGTGAGCGCATGCGGCGAAAGCCCTTCCCGTGAGCATTCATCCGAGGCCTGTGGGCGGGGGTGCAAGGCGATCTGGTGAAGGCGCGATCTACCGCACCTAAAGACTGGCGAGGGGCCCGGCCACCTTGAAGATCCAGTCGACGTGCTCGCAGCGCTCAGCGTCGGAGAGATATGCAAGGTGTGGTCCGCTGTGCCGATTCGAACCACAGTGGAGCAGTTACATGTGACGAGATTGGATCTCACTAGATTGTGCCAACGGTGTGTGGTTTGGACCTGTTCGTCAAGCCCCTTAACGCCGGTCAAGCGCGCGGGCTCGCGCAAACAAAAGATTTTCTTCTCAGTCAGTCCAAGTGCTCGGATAGGTGGGGGAAAGATGATGAAAACGACCCCCACATTTTCGAAGATGCAAAATAGAGTACGGGAATAAAGAAAGAAAGAAAGACAACAGACAACCCAAACGAGGGATGGGACGAGGACAGGGTCCCCACCTGCACGAGCAGGATTTTGGGAGGAGGATCAGGGACACAGGGGAACGGGAGTGGGGAGCGCATCGCGACCCGGGGGGCTGGGCAGGTTCCCATCAGCGAAAATTCTTCCTTCCCTCGCGACAGAAGTGTCAGCGTGCTGTCTGGTATAGCCCCAGCCGACTCCGCTGTGAACTCGCGGGGGCTCGGGTCTTGCGGACGCTGCTGCCTCCCTGGGTCACTTCCCACAGGAGCAGCTGTGAACAACAGGAGCGAGGCGCCCTATGTTCAGCCCTCGCGAGAAGCTGCAGCTCGTGCCGGAGAGGCGGTCTTCGCACGGCACTGCTACGGACGCCGGCCCGTCCACGCCGTCGCAGCCCGAGTCGCCGCCACACCAGCCGCTCTCCGTCGCTGCCCGTGCGGGCGTCTGCATGGCCGCGTGGTACTTCTTCTCTGGCTGCACGCTCTTTGGCAACAAGCACATCCTGTCCTCACTCAAGGCGGATCCCAACCTCCTCGCCATGTGCCAGATGATGATGACCGCCACCTTTGGCGCCGTCAAAATGTACGGCCCCTGGCTGACCGGTGTCGGGCCGCCGCAGGACTCGCCGCTCTCCACGCAGCCGATGCGATCCTTTCTGTGCGACATGGCACTCGTCGGGCTAATGCGTTTTGTGACGGTCGTGCTCGGCCTGATCTCCCTGAAGTACGTCGCCGTGTCGTTCACAGAGACCATCAAGTCTTCGGCACCCTTCTTCACCGTCGTTTTTGCGCGGATAATGCTGCGTGAGCACACCTCGTTCATGGCGCCTGCTCTTCCCGGGCTCGCGCGCCTTGTCTGTGCTACACGCCTCGCCTCGAGTCCCTGGTGTGCGTGGGTAGGTGCAACTCTCCCTGGTGCCCGTCGTTCTCGGGCTCGCGCTCTCCTCCTCCACCGAGCTCTCCTTCACGTTGGGAGGCTTCCTGGCCGCAGTGGCCAACAACTGCACGCTGCTCGTTCGCCCCCCGGAGGGAGGGGAGGGGCAGCGTCGACCTGCGGGTGCGCTTGGGCCGTAGGCATCGACTGTGTCCAGAACGTCTTCTCGAAGAAGCTCCTCTCGACGCACTACAACTACATCAACCTCCAGTTCTACACGTCGGCCGCCGCGTTGGTCGTGCAGCTACCCTTCATGCTCTACCTCCTCCTTCCCGCGTGGCTGGCCGGTGCATCTGCCACACTCGCCCCACCGAGCCCAGCACCGCCTCTCACTGCTCATCCCGGATCGCGAGAAGCCGCCGGCTTGAGCCGCGGATTGGCATGGCGCAATCAGGTGCAACCTCCATCTCAGCGGAGCTCGCGCAGCAGTTGCTCCTGAACGGGTTTGCCTTCCACATGCAGTCGGTCAGCGCGTACGCGGCCTAGATGGACCTAGAAGCCCTCCTGAATCACCGCCCTTTCGGCTGCGCCGTTTGCTGCTCTTTCTACACAAAACCCATCGACACCCTCCCCTCCGCAGGTACGCGGTGATGGGTCTCATCTCGCCTGTCACCGTCTCGGTAGCAAACACGCTCAAGTGCGCCCCCCCCCCTGTGGGCACGCCTCTTACGCATACAGCACAGCGCGTGCCTAGACCGATTCGTAACGCCTTGTGGGTGACTGACACTGTTTAGCCCCCATCAACAATGCGCCTGAGCGACTGCAGGCGCGCGCTGTTGATATGGCTCTCGATCTTGTACTTTGGCAACCCCGTTACTTTTGCCTCAGCTTGTGGCATCGCACCAGCTCGGTGACCGGTGGCGGCGGCCGCCATGTTCAGGGTTCCTGCATGTTTACAGGCACTGGGTTGTGCATCGGCGGGGTGCTGGCGTACAATCACGCGCGCCGGCATTATCCGTACGTGCCCCCGGTCGTGTACGCCCCTGTGCCGATGCGTGCGCAAGCTTGCACCGGCCAGTCCATACCGCCGTCTCGCTCTCCAAGCGCTGGAGTCTGACTCGGGAGGATGCGGGGAGGATGCAGCTTGCACGTTCGCAGGTCCTGTTTGCAGCCGCCAAAACTACGGCGGGGCGGGCGGCGGCGTTTACGTCAGTAGTTATACTATTTGAACAATTCCTCTTTCTGCGGCGGCGGTCCAAGTGAGCTGCCGGGCGGGGCCGCGCGGGGGTCTCGCGGCGGGCGTCTCTCTCCTCTGTGTACTCCGGTCTCCCCGCGGCTCGTTGGTGGTGGCTGGTGGCGAAAACTCTGGGCCCCTGTGTGGCGAGAAAAAAGAAAATGAAGTGCGAACATTAATTTTTTGCCAAGGCGGGTTTGGTTTGTTGTTTTCCGCATCGGTTTAATCAATTCATCAAAAACAAATGCATGTGGCGTGTGTGCCTGTGCGTGTGTGCGTGTGGCGCCTTTCTCTCTGCTCTCTCTCTCTCTCTCTCTCTCTCTCTCTCTCTCTCTCTCTCTCTCTCTCTCTCTCTCTCTCTCTCTCTCTCTCTCTCTCTCTCTCTCTCTCTCTCCACGCCACACGGCACGCCACCCTCCGCCCCGCACTCGCCGCACTCACCGCGCGCCACACTCGCACAGCCCTGGTCGGTGCACATGGAGAGGCTGGGCGGGCAAAGGCGCCCGGCTCTGCGGCGGTGGTCGACGGCGGTGGCTTCGCACGACGCAGCGAGGCCGCAAGCAGTACGTTGTCTCGCCACGCGCCGGCAAAGCCTCAGTGCCAGACACACACATCTCGATCCGTCTCGCCACGCGCCGGCAAACACCTCCGCGCCGCCAGCGCCTCGGTCGCAAGGACCGGCCGGTGAGGGATATCTCGGCGGCACCGGGGCGGAGGCCGATCTCACCGTGCCCTCCCGTACTTGAGCTTCTGCTTCTTGCTCGCCTCTTGCGCGGCGTCGAGCGGCTCGTCCGGCTTGGAGATCCAAGGGTAGACGTATTGTGTCCAGGCGTAGTAGAAGCCAATGCACGGCGGGACCACTGCGACGAGCGCGAACCAGTCAGAAAGGAGCCCTGTCGCGAGCTGCACGAACATGGTCGTGTAAAGCAGGTCCCACGTGTACTCAATCACTCCCTTGCTGTCCAGGTCGGATCCTGCGGAGATCAGAGCGCCGCCCTGCGCGAGCGGAGCATGCCTGGGAGAGGCGGCCGAGGCGAGGAAGCGGTACATGGCAAAGTACAGGCAGAGCATGAGGAGCTCGCCCGTGATGTGCCACCTCGAAAAGGAGTCCCAGTGGTACCACACGCGGTAGACACAGTAGATGGCCTGGCAGGGACGGCGGGCGGGCGGCGTCGACGGGCAGAGGAGGGATATGCGTACGGTGCCACACATCGCGCACATTGCACGACAGGATCTGATAGAGCAGCCTCGCTAGGTAGACCTGGTTCTTCAGCAACAACTTCTTGTTCGCCTCGTTCGCCATCGACCGAGAGCAGGGTTCCGGTCCTAGCCAGATAGGGGGTCTCCGCGCACAACCCGGGGCCCGAAATCGCACAGAGTCACGCAACCCTGGGTCCCAGGGAAGGCGAGCAAAAACCTTATCCCGCGCGCTAGACGCCGACTCGGAGGCCGCACCGGTCAGGCGCGCAGCCGGAGGGAGAGAGAGGGAGGCGCTCAATCGCCGCACGCGGCGAGCGCCTCCATCATCTCCGCCTCATACGCACCCTCCACCCCCGCGCCCGCGCCTGTAGCGTCCGTGCACGCGAGGATGGCCTCGCCGGGTGGTGCGGCCGCAGCAGCTATGGCAGCAACCGCAACAGAGGCAGCAGCACAGCGGCAGAAGCAGCGGCAGCAGCAGCAGCAGCCGCCGTCGCCGTCGCGCGGTCGCTCAGCATCTTGAACGAATGCCCACGATGAGCAGCGAGGCGAGGAATATCTCCTCGCTGCCGATCGTCGGCCCGATAAACTGCAGCATGAACATCTGGTCTGTTCACGGTGACACCGCGAGCCTGGCTGTTCTTCACCTTCCTAACTAACTAACTAACACCCTCTGCAACAGGTAGGTAGGTCCGGTTTTGACCGCCCCAGAGGGCCCTGCAACAGGTAGGTAGCCCTATTTTCGTCTTTTTTCGCTCGCTGCGCGGCCTGGGGATAGGTAGGTAGGTAGGGCGTTTGGCCTGCATATACTTTTCCGGCAAACAAAAAGGAAAACAGAGGGTCCCCAGCACTTTGCGTTTCCGGAAATTTCCAGGGAAAACAGGAGGGTGTTTGGTGCTCCATTCTGGAAACTCGCGAGTTTCCCTGAGTCTGAGAGCTGGTCTGGGGCAGCGAGTCATGGTCAACAGACCCCCTATCTGGCTAGGAGCCGGAACCCCAATGCGCTCTTGCGGCTCTCGCGATAGCGCAATGCCGTGAGCCCTGTACTCTACTCTCTGTACACTTTGATCGATTCGGCGAGGCCGCCGTCGCGTCCTGAAGGGCCTTTACTCTTTCGCCGGACGCAACTGGCCTCAAAGGGGCTTCCGGGTTCCGGCCTCTGCGTGCGGCGATTCTTACATGAGGCCCTCAATAGATCAACTCTCCTCTCTCCATGAAGGGAGCGAACCTGGCTGACGGCAAAACTGCTAGCTGTCGCCCTTTAGGGCGACATGATGGTGTTTTGGCGCGAGGGGGGGCGTGCAAGTGGCTAGAATGCCTAGCGCCGTCGTCCTGGGGGGGACCCGTCCTGACCGGGGAGGGTGCCCGCCGGAATTCCGGCGGAGACTAGTACTCCAGTCGTGGTCCCATTCAGACGGACCTGCGCTCCCTCGTGTGCCTGCCGGGTTCTCTCCTTCCTGCTTTCTGGCGCATCCCACCATCCACCCCATGCGCCACCTGTGTCCTGTTTGCTTGTTTTGTGTGCCGCCACGCCCGAGGCCCTTCCGGGTTCCGGCCTCTGCGTGCGGCGATTCTTACATGAGGCCCTCAATAGATCAACTCTCCTCTCTCCATGAAGGGAGCGAACCTGGCTGACGGCAAAACGGCAGAATTTTACTTCCGACAGGCGCGGGCGACGGCTTCCACCAATACGCCGTCTATGCTCGCGGCGGCAAAAGCGGTCCTCGCGCCGCGCGGCACGGTGCGCGCCGCCATCAACATGTCCAATATCCTCCTCGTCACCAACCGCGCCGACCCGGCGCAGCCCGGCGGAGTCGCGCCTGACATGGCCGCCGCGCTGGCCGACGCGCTCGGCGCCAAGCTGCAGCTGGTCCCGTACAAGAACCCAGGAGCGCTGGCGGACTCGGCTGGCGCCGGCGAGTGGGATGTGGGCCTCATCGGCGCCGAACCGGCGCGCGCCGCCATCATCGGCTTCTCGGTCAGCGCAGCCACGACAACTCAGCGATTTGCTGCCCGCCCCCTCACCACTCCCTGGATGCCTCCCTGCCCGAGGCGCCATACGCTGAGATCGAGGCGACGTACCTCGTGCGGCCGGGCGTGCCGTTTCACACCGCCGCCCAGGTGGATACGGAGGGCGTGCGTGTGGCGAGCTCGAGGCGGTCTGCGTACACGCTCTGGCTGGAGGACAACCTGCGTGCCGCGCAGCTCGTGCAGACGGAGGAGCCCGGTGCCGAAGGCTCGTGGGACCTCTTTCAGGACCGCGAGCTTGAAGCGCTGGCCGGTCTGCGTTCATTCCTGACCGGCAAGGCGGCTGAGCTGCCGGGATCGCGTCTCTTAGACGACCGATTCACTTCAATCCAGCAGGCCCCGGATTACCGAAACCGTCCGATGCATTGATATTGCATGAGATGACAGACCACCCCTGCTCGATCCCAGGCTATCGGAACGCCGCGCGGTGACGCGGCGGCTTGCGACGCGGCAGTCGCGTTCCTGGATTCGTTTGTGGCCGACGCAAAGTCGTCAGGCCTAGTGGCGAACCTGCTTGCCAAGCACGGCGTCGAGGGGAAGCTGTCGGTGGCGCTCTGAGACGAGAGCTTTGGCGCGGCCACGGGGGGGGAATGCAGTGGCCGAGAGTGTGGACCATAAAAAAGGGGGCCTTGTGCAGATTCCAATGAAATAGAATGTGTCGGAGCGCGCGGTGTGCCGCGTCTCTCCCTATAGAGTACCAGGGTAGGCTCCGCCTCACTGCATCTCGAACTGGATTCCACGAATTGATTTTCCTAGCGTCGTCAAAGTGAGCTGAAAGCTCGCTCGAAGAGCCGATGTCACCCGCCGACCGCCTCCCATCTCGCCGCTGCTCTGGCGGGGCGGCGGCGGGGCCTGGCGACGGCGCGCGGCGCATGTGCCGTGGCGACCCACCGGGCCGGCCGGCCGCGCAGGCGCCGACCGGTGATCGCCACCGCGCCCCGCCTCGGAACGCCGTTTCCGCTTGGCGTCCGAGGCGCTCGGCGTTCCCGCTGGAGCGCGAGATCGGACCGGGTCGGACGCTCCTTTTCTCGCCGTAGGCACGGCTGGCCGGCTGGAGCAGCGGAAAAACAAAAATCGGACCGGTCAATCCTCTCCGGCCAGCCTCGGGCTAATTAAAGCCGCAAAAAATCGGAAGTTTCCGCCGCCCCGGATTCCACCTCCCTGGCCCTGGGATTGCGCGCAAGGGAGCGGGCTCTGGCGGAAGCTACCGGAGGTTGAGGTAATAGGTGAGCGTGACCACGTTCAGCTTTGTGATGTCGTAGTCGCGGTGGTCGGGAGGCAGCCTGCGACAGCGTGGCTGTCAGCAGTTGGCTGGCTGTGTGCGGCAGACGGCAGAGAGGGAGCAGCGGGCGAGCCGCACTTGCACCCGCCCAGGGTCCACTCATGCAGGTTAGGCGGCGTAGTGTCCACCATGATCAGAACAACCCGAGGTGCCATCTCAGGGCTCAGCCAATACAGCGTCGCGCGGGTCCTTAACCGTGGGCGTCGGGGGCGTCGAATCGCTGGCGTCGAATCGCGACGGGCGGCGTGGCGGGCGCTGTTTGCAACGCGCTCGTGCCCACAAGCCGTATGGCTCGTCAAGAGTTTATTACCTCACCAAGTCGCTCTCGCTCCCCACTCTTCTCGGCCTCTTGGCTAAGATCAAGTGTAGTATCTGTTCTTATCAGTTTGATCTCTGGTATGCTGGACACTGTCCAGCAATTTGATCAAATTGATTTTTCTCCGGGACTGCGTGCGCTGGCTTGCCAGCGCAACAGTGCTCGTGGTCCTCGGCTTGCACGCTCCAGGGATCGCGGACCCGTCGTAAACTTGAAACTTCGATGCCCCCTTACCACTCCAAGTGCTCCTTACCTGCTCAAGAGGAGGCTCTCAGCCCGCCTGGCTTCCTCCCTCACCAGCTCGCCGGTGTGAATCCCTAGGGCCTCCAGGGCTCGCACCTTGACCTCTCACAGGCCAGCGCACAGCGCCATAGGAGCAACAAGGCTGTGAAGGTGCGAAACTCGACACCTCGTCACCCCTCCACACCGCTCGATTCCGCTCGACAATGGTCAACGCTCGACATCTCATCAGCTCAGCGAGACCAATATCTCCAGCCTCCTTCATTGCTTCATATCTTGGCTCGTGCTGCTTTTGGGAAGGGTGAAACTGAAAGTGAAAGCGATTCGCTGTTTCCATGTGAAATCACGAACCCTGCTGCCAACTCAGCAGCTGCACCGACATGCGGCACATGCCACTAAACTCCCTCCTCCCTCGACAAAAAAAACGCACGAACCGCGCACAATTGGTGACGATGCAAAAACGCGGAGTGCAGACGCGTTTGCACCGCGGTCCGCGGTCCAGCGCGTAGGGAGAGACGAGAGTCGTGGGGTCGGTACCGCGCTATGGCGGGTGGTCGCCCTCCTCGTGTTTCCCACGCGTATTTCCGCGCGACGCGCTCGAGGCGACGCGTGCCGCGCGGCCCGCGCCGACGAGTCTCAGACAGCGGCGCAGGATGGGCGCCAGCCGTCCAGCCCGATCCCGGCGTACGCAACGTGGCTGGGGTCGAGAGGGTCGAGCCCCTGCCGGGTTGTGGGATGACAGCGGCGTGAAGGCGGTGGCTGGCAACGCCCCTTGATTCGACGCCTTGCTCACCGGTCGTTTGGGAGTCGAGGGAGAGTCAATGTGAGAGGCGCGGGTTAAATGCCAAACCCCAGACAGTGAGAAGGGGGGGGGGGGGGGCGAAGGGGCGAACGGGGCGAGATCAGGGCGCCTTGAAGAGCAGCTCGAGACCTAGAAAAATGAGCAGATGGAGCGCGGCGCGGCGCGCAGGAGCTAGGACTGGCGCGGAAGCGCGGCGCCGTAAGTTGCGGCGCAGAGCGGGAGCGGGATGAGGACCATGGCCAGCACGTAGCGC